GTGTTATAGGAGGAATTTTAGATGGGAGAGATTCTTTTGGAGAAATTTTAGGAGGGGGTTGAGCCGATAGGTAACACGCGCGAGAGAGAGAGGAACTGTAATGAAGAAGAAAGGGTTGCCACATGGCAATATAGATTAAGAGGTATTTTAGGAAGAATTTTACATGGAAGAAATAGTTTAGGATAAATTTAGGAGGGATTGGCTAAATGGTTCGGAACGGATAAGGAAATAACAGAGAGGTTTGACGAGAGAAGATAGACATGGGACCTAATCGCTTTATAATATATATATATTAAAAAACTGAAACCAAAGAACAATCAAAATCCAAACCGATCAATTGATTGATTTCAATTCGATTTGATTTGTGGTTTTCCAAAAATCCAAAAGGATCGGTTTGATTTGAAAAAACGGCCCACGGTCCAGTCCATAAACACCCTTTAGTACTTGGCTACCGGATCCCGAATTGTAGCAGCTTTACCTTTACGAAAACCAATTTTAGAGTTAAACTTGATTGGGTGGATTCAAGTCATAATTTTGATATCCTTCCAGAATTATTAGGTTACCCTTTAACCCAGTCAATAAATATCCAATGAAAATTTAATTTATACCAAACTTTTTTAAACTATATTCTACCAAAAAACAGAAAAAAAGGAATGGAAGAGAATTAGTCCAGTAGTCCGTCCACTGCTACAAGTGAAGCATGTTAATAGAAAAGATACCAAGCCAATCACAATGTGCCATGTCAGCTTGGTACATGGGCCCCACGTACACGGTGGGTGCTCACACGATAGACCTATACATGTTTTGCTCTTGCTCAATCTCCATGTGCAACTCAAGATCAACTATGTACGATGTGACAAAACACAAGGCCCAGAACCAGAGACACTAGGCAGTAGCAAACTGCGCGTCTGAGTGGGGACTCGCTTTAGTCCGGTGGCCACATTAAAAACGGCAGAGACGTTGCCGAGCATATGGAGAAGGGAGTGGCAATAGCTGAACTGTGATCTTAAAACTTGAATTTTAACATTTCAGCTGAAGAACTGGAGTATGTCACCCAGAATAAATCACACGAGTATAATTCAAAAGTTCCATTATATCTCTGTGTTGAGGCAGGTTCGTTGATCAACCAATAGAATAAAATCCAAGCATTTTGGCTGCCACTGCACATGTCAAGTGCAACAACAAACGGGGATCATCAATAAAATCCAAGATCTCATTCTTTTTAGATAACTAACCATGAAAAGATATGTCGAGTTAACAATGTAAAAGTAGATCTCATTCTAATGGTGTCGCAGAGAGTCTCAAGTACCAAAGTATAAGAGCTACATTCTGAGTAATTGGAATAAAACAGAAAGTTGCAATATCAATCCCACATTTTTATATGCTCCAGAGTCCCAGACACACATCTCCATAAATTCTCCCTCCGCCAGCACACTATTTGTACATAAGCAGATGCTGCAAAAATTCGAAAGAGTGCAACAGGACTAGCGGCCACGACCACGTCCACGCCCACGGCCCCGGCCACGACCACGTCCCACAGGCCTCCCTGGTTAACAAAATAGAAGCCACAACATCATTAGTAAACCTGGCAAAGAACCGAGGAAAAGATTCAAGGAAAGGAAGCACGGTGGAATGAATAAAACACCACAGGAAAAAAAAGCAAAACATGCACAATACCAGCAGTAGGTTTCTTGGGCTTGACCCTAGGTGTCTCTTCCACCAACAACGTCTCAAGGTTCAAGCTATCAGGAAGGATATAATACCGGATGTTGTTACCCCTAACACTAAGATGATCAAGAGTAACCGGGTTTTTCCCCTTCAATGTCAATTTCACCGTCTTCAAATGTGTATTCATGCTAATATCCACTCCTGCAATAGTCCAGGCAAGGCCAATGTTATATTCAGATGTGTGCTGGTAGATTTTTCTACTCACGTCAGCAGTGGCAGCACAACATAAGAATAAACCACTATATGATAAGTTATTATAGTCAAACTATCATCTTTGTTTGCATATACACATCCTCATAAACCAAAAAGAAACAAAGAAACAAAGAAACAAGATCAGAATACCAAGCACATGAAACTTTGGATTCTTTATCAAGGAAATTTGGATTAAATCAGCATTTGCATGTAAAGAAGCCTCTATATAATTAGTTGTTTGGATATGTTGAGTTCCCAGATCCATGGAAACAAACCCAACAAGTCATCATCATCATCATGCCTTATCCCAACTATATGGGGCCAGCTACATGAATCCTGTTTTGCCAATCTGTTCTATTTAAAGTCATATCCATTGTTAAATCATTAGTGTGTAAATCATATCTTACTACTTCTACCCAAGTCCTTTTGGTCTATCCCTATACCTTCTAGCCCCTTCAACTTGTAATAAATCACTTATTCTAACTAGTGTTGTTCATGGTTTTCTATGCACATGACCAAACCATCTTAGTCTTTCTCTTATTTTATCACCTATTGCCTAGGTTCTTATGGATGACACAATTCCTGATCCTATCCTCTCTAGTTTTTTTTCTTCATCCATCTTACCCTTTGCATTTCTGCCACTCATTTTCTGGACATATTTCTTGATTGCCCAAGACTCTGCTCCCTACAACATAGTTGGCCTTACAACTGTTTTATAGAATTTTCCTTTTAGTCTAAGTGGTATTCTCCTATCACATAAAAGTCCAAATGCACCCCTCCATTTTACCCATCTTGCTCTAATTCTAATTCTTTGAGTTATCTCTTAGCCTTCCAATCCTAAGGATAAATTGCAGGTGAATATATGAAATTAAATGCAAAACTTTCACCACTAAAATGAGGGGAAATTGCAGTATAGAATACATTACCCTTTGACTTATATGTTAAAACATTTGTTAAATATATAACATTGGCACATCAAATTCCAGTGCCAAAGACCATATTGAGTTCCATGCAGCAGCAGCAGCAGCAACAACACCACACACACACACACACGTGTATGGACAAACACATGCACACTCAGAGTCTCAAAAAAGGGTTAGATCTATAATTTAGTGCTGGCCTAACATTCTCAGTTTGGTGAACTTGGCAAGAGTCAAGGACTTACGACATCACCTACAAAGCACTAAAGATCCGGTAACCTAAATACTCCAAGGTACAATTAATTTGTCTTTGATCACTTGAACAATGTTTCTATTAAAAAAATCATTATTGAATAAACCATGGATTATGGTCTCAAATGATCCAGTAACCATCATTTATTGAACAAACTCCAGAGAAGCACATTGATCACATTTTCATGGAAGTTCATTAACCACACAAAGTTCCATAAAAGAAAAGATAGGGAAAAAGCATAGATTTCTAAAAAGATATAATACAGATAGTTTTTTTTTTTTTTTACAGTTAYGAACTAGAACAAATACTTGGGACCTTTAACAGGAAAACCTTCTTTGTATATATACTTGGTACATGCAAGAATTGCATGCATGATAGATACTTAGGACCTAAAAAATAGGACCTTTCAAGAAACTGCATGTAACAAATAAAACTCTTTTTTAGGGGAAGAAATGCACCAGTGAATACTTTGGACATGGTCCCTTAGTAACTGATTCATCTAGAACCAAGAAATATTCATTCTAGAACCCATACTAAATGTCTGTCTAACATTACTGAAACAAAAATGAAAAAGAGAAAGTGAAAGTGGAAGTAATGTATAAGATATGGCATCCATGAACGAGGTAATCCATCATATACACCACTTCTACTGTCATACAAGTGATGCAAATATATCCTAAATCCATGTATCCTAAGTCCATGCAAATATATCCACCATATCCTCTTCTCCCCTTCTGCAATAGAAAAATAAATTCCCTCAACTCAACCCAATTCAACACAAATAAGCCTTATCCCAACTATATGGGGTCGGCTACTTCAATCCTGTTCCACTATTCCACTATGTTCAGTTGCATCTTCGTTGTTAAAATGTGGGCTATCAAATCATTTCTCACTACTACATCCTTCAATCCATATCCTTTTTGGCCTGCCCTAGCTCTTCAAGAGCCTTCAACTTGTAACAGACAACTTCTCATTGGTGTTTTAGATGGCTTTTTTTTCTTTTTTTGCAAGTGACAAAACCATCTTAGTTTACTTTTACTTATTTTGGCTACTTCTAGGTTCCCAAGTAAAGGTAAAAGGTCCAAGAAGATTGGCATGTTCCCAATTCCTCATGTGGGTCTTTCAATGTTCCCATTACATGTAGGCTTGCCCCGTTCCTGCGTTGCAGAACCCAAAAGGTCCCATTAATATCGACGATAATAAACACTCAGTTCCATTTCAACGCTCTAAATTCTTATCCTGCATTGTACACTATGGTGCTAAAATGAGAAATAGAGATCCTCCTTTCCTCGAAAAAAAAAGAAAAAGAAAGAAATAGAAACCCTCCAGTCTCAATTAAACTAATATCCTACTTTTCAACAACCCCAGCAGCAAAATAAATAAATAAATAAACGAAAGAAAGAAAGAAAGTTAAAAAAAAATGAAGAAGAGAAATGAACGAAATCATACTACGCGAACATGGCATTTACAACGCTCCTGAAAATCTCAAATAAATTCTATTGGGAAACCAACAAAAATATAGGAAAGCTCTAAATTGTCCAATTTGATTCAGTAGCAAAGAGTGCAGAACATCGCCCCAACAGAGAGGGTTACACGAACCCTCTCCCGCCACTGTTCTCTATCAAGAGCATAAGATGAGAATATAAATAAAAATAAAAGGGAAACCCTAGGATTTAGCAAAACCCTAACAAATAGAACAAAAATCTGCAAAATCCAGCGGAACTCAAGAAACCAGAAAGAAACAGAACCTACAAGCTTCAAGAAGTAAAGTTGAGAATAGAGTGAGGTAGAGAGAGGAACCTGTAATGGTGCCATGAACAACAGTCCCGTTCTTGAGTTCGATTGACACTGTCTCGTTGTTCAACTTCATCAAAAACCTGTTTTTTAGATCCCAATCGAAAACCCAAAACAAAAGGGTCAGAAGAGTTCTACTCAAGAAACTTAAACCACAAAAAAAATAATAAAAATAAAGATGGAATACCTAACAAGCTTCATCTTGGCGAGCAGTGGAAACTAGGGCAGCTGAAAGCAAAGCCAGTAAAGAAGCGGGAGGCGAGACCTGGTTTTGAAGCGACAAGGGTTTAGTAAGGGCTGRGCTCCGACACCACGAGATTACGAGGCCCAGGCCCCTTATGCGTGCTTTGAATACAAGAAACATTCTGTTTTTCATCTTCCATCACTTACAATTGCATCGTATACCGTAGATCTGGAATTTTTAGCAGTTTAGTAGCTATTCGATCATACACCTCACATTTGGAATTTTGGAATATGTTGTATACATGCTGAATTATTTAAGGTTGCGTACGATAAATTTAAATTTTGAATTATGATCCGAAAACTCAAAATTATTTGAGTCTTAAATCTGGAAAAAATGATTTTATCTATTTTGGGCATAGTGTCACTTTGGTCCCCAAATTTTAAAATGGACAATCGACTAAAATGTACCAATGTTAATAAGTTGTTAAGTGGCATTTGAAAAGATGTAAATGTCTTTCAAGTGTTATTTAATTTTCTTTATCAACAATCTTAACATTGATAAAAAAATGAACAGTCCTTTATCAGCTATCCAAGCGTCGATAAAAAAATGAATATTTCTAAATCCTTGACTTTTTTATTCAAGAAAGTTGGAGTCACAAGAATGTCCATTGAGGCATAACCCCAACTTCCTTGAATAGAAGATGTAAGGATCCGAGACTATTCATTTTTTGTCAATTTTTGGATGTTTGATAAAGAAAATTAGATGACACTTGAAGAGCATATATGTCTTTTCAAATGCCACTTAACGGTTGATTAAACGGCTAGTTAACGACAAATGTTGGATTGACACATTTTGAAAGTTCGGGTACTGAATTGTAGCGTTTTAAAGTTTGGGGATGAAAGTGGTACTAGGCCCAAAGTACATGATACTAATYGGGAATTTTTCATAATAATAATAATAATAACAAACAAACAAAATCGTTTGAATTGGAGTAATTCTCTAATGTCTAAAATTGTGAAATTTACTATTTTACCCCCATAACAATATCGTTTGATAATATTAAAATTAATAAAAATAGTATTAAATAAAAAACACTATTAAATAATATAATATCATTTTATTTTTATTTTCACTACTACTACTATTATTATTATTATTATTACTATTATACACCTCTAAAATGTGGTATGCAAGACCTTGTCAAATGCTTCCAAGGGTTAGGCCCAATAACAGGTAGAGCAAATTTCTTAAACTATCCTTATGGTTCAACTAATTGATTAATTCTATATTTAGTGTTTAGATATTGTCTCAGAGTATCTCTAAGTTTTTTAACAATCGTCTAATTCTACCCATGTCCTTAACATCAGTTATTGATCCTTTGTCAAAATCCATACACATGTGACACGTGAGTTATAAAATTATTTTAAAATCAAATATTACCCTCCATCCCTCTTCTGTCGGGTAAGAATCACCGTTAGAGTTCTCCTCCACTACCTTCACCTTCACAATGTTCATCGTCCTTTGCACAGTTCTTAATCAGAGCTAGGCTTTTCTCTAAAGGCCATGAAGCAGTGGGGAGATTTGGCAGAATCCGAGGGATCAGCGAAACTATTGAGTTTCGATCTTTCTCGCTCTCTCTCACACTCGTAAACGGGATAAGCCTCCAGCCTCCTCTGTGTTGGGAGGTAGAGACCAGAGAGCAGAGAGTGTCTCCATCCGCACTCTCAAAGAAAGAAGCAACGAAAATAAAAAGAGATAGAATGCAATTCTTTTTTTGTGGATTTTAGCATTTACGGTGAACCCCACCTCTGAAAACCCTAAATTTTCTCTGTTTCAAATTTACCTACCAAATTCTTTGCTGAGAAATCTTGTTTAATGGTGGACATTTCAAGCTCTTTGATTCCGACAGATGTTGAGGATCAACTGGCCTTGAATTGTGTGTGCGTATGAGAGAGAGAGAGAGAAAGAACGGATCTCCCCCTCCATCACCACACCCCATTCTCTACGCACCCTCAAAACACCCCCATAGCTATAGCATCACCTTCTATTTATTAGCCCATTTTACTGCGGGCTTCTCCATTTGGATGATTGAGTAAAGGAAGAAGTATGAATTGGACAATTAGTTCACTACACTCCATCAACCAAAAATGCTGTCTAGGAACCTCCACACCATTTCCAATGACCAACTGACTTGTATTTTGAATCCTGCCSTTGTCTCCTCTCTACAGGATACGTAAAGAAAGACACTTGGGAAAACCACGTTGACACAAGGGATCCGATCCATCATCTTCCAAGCGCATTCGCCTTTTGCTAAAGAGATTCACATAATATCACTTCATCCTTAGCCAATCAATCTGAATTATGTTTTCCCAGTTGGTTCAATCTCTCGGAAGCAAAACCAGTGTCCTAAGGGCTACATTAGAGGTAGGTTCTCTWCCTCATTTCATGTCTACAATTCCCATATCAGGATCAATGTTGGGTACGTGATGCTGAAATATGTTCGTTGTCCTTCAYTTTTTTTTAACACGAGTTCAGACTTAATCTCCGTTCCTATGCATGAATTGATGGTGAATTAGATCCCCAAATGCTCTTCAATTATCTTGAACCAATTTGCTTTGCATTAAGTTATTGCATGTATTTTTGTGTCTTCAAGATGTCTGCGTTATTTTATTGATTTTTCTTCAAGTTGTGTCATCAGCAGCTGCCATTTTGTTTCCTATTTGACAGCCTAATGAGAAAGGTAATTGGGAGTTGGAGAGATGGGTGAGAGTGTGAGATGAACCTCAATATCAGCACCACCTGCGTCGTTGTTGGGTTCTGGTTCAAGGTTCAGGCCAAGTTAGTTTGCTTCTATTTCACAGTTTTCTATGTTGCTGCCTTTGTAAATGAGTACAGACCCGAGAGCACGTGTGCTGCCTGCATATTTGGGCTACCACTAGCCATATCTGTAGATAGCAAGAAGCAATTGGCTCTTGCTTTTGTCTTGACTAATGATAGATTTGCTGCTTTCCTTATGTCTTGCTTTCTGGGTTTGTATTTGGTTCAAGTGGTGGAGGARGAAGGCAGCTTATTTGGAGGAGAGTAGCTATTGCGACCCAATATTCAAGATCAGGGAGCTTGAGTGGTTGCACCGACTTGAAAATTTTCATCACATGGGTTTTATTTTGAAAGCTTGAACAACAATGAAGGGTAAAATTGACATTTTATTTTTTCGTTACTATTTAACAGTGATGTCAATTATCAAAAAATTTTGGGAGTATTTTAAGATAATATATAAACAGTAAAGGTACAATTTAGTCAATTAACTAAACAATAATGATAGTTTAAGAAATTTGTCCTAATAGGTATGAATGAGCAAGCCCACCAACTTGGGCTCTCAATGGGTTATACTAATCAGGGGGATGGGTTATGGGATCCACCCAATATAGGGTAAATTGTTATATAGGGGTATTTATGTATTTTAAACTTGCATATCTTAATAGTGAGCCTCATTGATTGGTAATAAGCGGAACCCACTATGTTAATTTAAAAGTGGGCATGGTCCATTTTAATATTTTAAACTTAAATATTTTAACACTAGTAGGGGTGCAAGTCGGGCAGATTGGGTCGGGTTTATGGTCAATCCAGGCCCAGTCCTAAAATTTGGGCTTAAGGCCCAAACCTAGCCCGAGCCCGACTTTCCAATCCGAGCCCAACCCGCCCTGTAATTTGATGCACTCAGGTTAGGCATAGGCCCGGGCTGGGCTCGAGTTGGTCAATGAACTCACTCTAAAATTATAGATATATATAAATGTATTTATGCAAATATATATACATATATTTATGTATGTATGTAAATATGTATGCAAAATATCTATACAAATGTTATATATACAAATATATATGTATATATATGTAAATATTATGCAACATTTACATATATACACATATAGATGTATAAATGTATATAATTGGGCCTGGCTCGGGCTACCTAAGGGCTAGGATCGAGCTCGGCTCAAAAAATAAAATCCGAATTCTTGGGCCCAAGTCCAGTCTGAGGATCGAAAATCCAAGCTCAACCTATGTAAAATTCCGGGTTGGGTTGGTTTGGGCTCAGGCTGGGCCCACCCAAGTTGCACCTCTAAACATTAGGCCCCATTGATAAGTGGGACCCACTATGCTGATTTTACAATGGGCATAGTCCATTTTAATATTTCAAACTTAAATATTTTAACAATAGTTCCCACTGATAAGTGAGACCCACTATACTGATTTGATACTAGGTAAGGCCTACTTTGATATTTTAAACTTAAATATTTTAATGGTGGGCTCCACTGATAAGTGGGACCAGCTATGCTGATTTGATAGTGGGCATGGCCCGCTAATAAATGAGACCCACTATGCTAAATGAGTCCCACTAAATTAGATTACTTAAAATTGGTTATGGTAGTGGGTATGGCCCACTAAAGCATTGAACTATGATCATTAAACTCTATTTTTGTTTATGGTGGTTAGCACCTACCAAATCAAAATAATTTACACCTATGATCTTTCTTTTGAGGTGGATAAAATCCATTGAATATGATAGTGGACCCCAAAAAATATCATTAACTTTTGATCATTAGATCTTGTTTTTTGTTTATAATGGATTAGACATGTTTATGGGCTGAGTAGCCCGACACTTGTACATATTATTAGGCCCGTAGGCTCGGACTTGGGCCCAATTATCTAAGCCTGACTTACTTTCGGACTAGGCTTAGGATTTCACAAAAAGCCCGACCCACCAATATTTTATATAATAAAAATATTAATAATATATTATTAAAAATATAATAGTATATATTTTTCCTAACCCTAATTCATTTTTTTCATTCAAATCGATAGTCTTCCTCGTCTCATCCCATGTTTTATTCGAACTTCGAACTGGAACTTCTTCCCTTTCACAACGACAGCCGGCGGTAGCGCTAGTATCTGGACTAGACAAGTCTGCAATGTATTCAGACTTAAAAATGAATTTTGAACCCAGAAATGTATTCAGATTTCAGGCTGGACAAGTCTACAATGTATTCTAGACTGGACAAGTATGCAATTTTTGATGTCCTGATCAAAGTGGCCAATTGGCCATCTTAAATTCTTAAATTTTCTTCTTTTAAGTCTTACATTTACATG